AAAAATGGCAGACCTCAGGTCAGATTTAATTGATAGAGATATATGCATGCATTATGAAATTTATGTATCCCAGATAATTGTTTTTCATCTTGTCATGGGAGACCCACCCCTTTCTCTGGAGTTAACTGCAGCCCAAGATAACTAGTGGGGGTATTTACACACTCATGGCCAATGGGGTAAAAAGAGCAACCAAAAAACTGGCAGCCTGCACAGCCACAGATGTGCTAGAAGCTAGAAGAGCTAGAAGTGCTGCTCATGGAGAAACTCTTGGAGAAACTTGCTAAACCTATCAGGGGACAGGTACTCCAGCCCAAAAACATGATATAACCCCACATAAAGCCCAGCCACAAAGTGAACCAAGTCATGAATGGATGGATAGAAGTTAAATGACTACAAACATAAAAACATAAAAGGCACTAGTTCCCACACTGGAGTTCCCTGACATTGGGTTGATTGTACTGAGCTTGTATTAACAGTTATAACGGACTAAGCTGAGACATTGCTTTGAATTATTGTTTCTATCTTAATGATTTCAGCTGACTTTTTTCAGCTCAGATATTCTGCTTTTTCCTTTTGGTAGATCAAAGCGGCTCGTGCTGTTTCTGCTTCCATTTTGATGGCAAGAAAAAGAAGAAGAAGAGGAATGCTTCAGTGGGCCAATCATGGTCACACGCTGCATGTGGTTTTAAAAGCAACATGTTTGTCCAAAGCAACAATCAATACACTGATTAAAAACTTTGAAATCTGTATTTTTGGTGCTAGATGTGTAATATTAGTGCATGCTACGGTTTGTTCAGTTCTGTTTTCTATTTTGATGAACACCTACACCCCAAAATAAATTTCACATCCTTCAGATTCTTTGACTGTTCATTTTAATGTACATAACTGTTAGTGTTTCATTTATGATCTTTTAATGCTTACACTACATGATACAGCGTGCTATCATTTCTTTTTTAATATGATGGACTGAACACAGGCGGTATCTGCTTTTGACTATGCGAAGATTAATCTGATCCCATTTCCACCTGTATCTACTGTTTTAAGATGTAACTGAAGTTTGCTCAACTATAACTGT